TTGAAATGGCTAAGCATCCTTGGGAAAAAGCTAGCTAAAGAGGCACGATTTGAGAAAAAGAAAAGAAGAAAATTAGCAAAGCCCTAAGGTTAATTCTAGACTATTCTTAACAGGAACCACAAATATTTTTCTGGTTTTACGTATTTAAGGTTTCTTTCCTGAAATAATTATCCTTATAATTGCACAAAAAGTTCCCATTTTTTGCATCAACTATCTTTTCCAATGATGTATTTTGTAATAATACTCCGTTTTAATTCCTAAAGAATTTAACCATTCCTTTTTTTGAGAAGGGAATAGTTTCCTCTTAATTAAGCTGTGTTGTTACTGTTGATGATATGAGGTATTCCTTGGTGACTATCTCACTTCCCCGGACGCTGCTGCTCTGCCGAGGAACGCCGTTTACACTCACCACTAGTAACCTCTGAGAGTCTGTGCGCTCGGACCCCTTTCATAACTGTTGTGGTAACAACAAAAAAGTTACATAAACTTGCAAAAGAATTGCTTAATGATATGAAGCATTCTGGTTTCTACCAAAACCCCAATTACTTAATTCTGTGCCGTTCCTGGCCCACATAAATTATGCAACCCTCACATCTCAACATCAGTGAATTATGTGGCTCTGCACACACATCAATTAATTTTGGCCCCGTCAACTTCCCACCTTCTGTGCGCTCCTCGCCTCAAATCAGTTTTGCATCTCCCAGCCGCGAGCAGTTAATTTTGTGCTCCCAGCAGCTCCTATCTGCCTGAACCTGCAGCCCCGCTTAAACTCTTCACCCACCCCCACCTGCTGCTTCCCTTGCACAGCCCAGCTCGCTCCTCCCGCTCTTCTGGGCTTCTCCTCCTCAACCTCTCCTCTTCCAGCTCCGCAGCGAGGGTCGAGTCGGGTGCCCTTCCCTCCCACTCCTTCAGCACACGCAGGATCCTGGAGGCGGCGGGGCCCGCTGCGCCCTGCGGGGAGAGGGGCCAGGCCAGGAGAAGTCCCGCTGCATTTGTCACTCTCCGTCTGATTTCCAGCAAGCAAAGTGCAAGACTGAAGCTCCGTCTCCTGGAACGGCCTGTGAGCCCACAGCACGCTTGGAGCAACCACCTTCAAAACCCTTCCGGTGGGGGAGCTTGCAGCATGCATCACCCCACTGAGAAGACAAATAGCTCCTGGATCTGCAAATAAGTAGCATGGAGGAAAATCCTGCTGCCAACATCCATCAAACTCAGCACTCCTTCCAGCAACAGGAATAATTGGGACCTGGGCCCTGGTGTTAAAGCTGACACCAGCACTGCAGGTGTCCACATCCATACCGCAACAGACTTCCCTAAGCAACGCGGAAAGAGCTCGTTTTCCTCCAGAAAACCCATCAGTAGCCAGAGTACGAGTGTGTCGAGAAGGGTATCGTGTTCCCTATCGCTATCTTGGCCACCTCTGCATACAGGGCAGTTCTGACTAGCTCTGTACTGGCCAGTTCCGTATTATTCTGACCGAAAAGGAGAGGTTGATGTCCTGTGGGTCACGCGGGAGCGCAGGCCTCATGGTGCAGCGGGATGTGCCATGCCATGCCATGCCATGCCATGCTGTGCTGTGGCGCGGCGCGCGGGGCCGGGGCTCTGCAGCCGCTTGGAGCGCGCGGCCTGACTCCCCAGTACGAGAGAGCTGGTCAAGGCCGCCCCTTCCTCACCGTCTCCCTCTACTCCGAATGTCTCAGGGATACAGCAGGGCAGGGGTAGGCGGTTTCCTGAGGGAAACCTCCTGAGGGAGGACGGCCGGGAGAGCGGCATGAGCTGCAGACGAGCCGCACACACGGCCTGGAAAGCCCCCAAAGCCCCTTGCCTGGGTCGATGGTCACGAGGGCTGGTAGGGAGCCGCTCTCAGGGCTGGAGAATGCCCTCTTTTAAGTCTCTCTCTTCTCTGGAGGCAGGAAGGAATTTGATTCCTTTCCCAAATGAGGTTACTGAATATTTTCTCTCCTCTCCTTTTTGTCTGTGTCTATTTAAGCAGCTAGTGTTACAGAGACGGACTTGTGCTTTTCTTGTACGGTTCCCAGCACATCTGGCTGTCTTGGATAGGGTCCCTGGGCCTGATTGTAGCAAAAAGTAATGATAGTGTGTTTTAAACTCTGGCCTCCAGCTAACACGATATATAAAACACAAAGCATTTGGAACAAACTGGAGGAAATACAATTTTAAGTAACTGTTTGAGGGGAAAAAAAGAATATATTCATTTTTTTACATCTGTAATTCTACTTTGCATGAGTGGGTGCTACATTGTGCTAAACGACTGCATCTTAGCATTTAAAGACCTATTTAATATAGTGAAGCACTTGATCCCAGCTGATTGGAATCTCCTTTTAATCAAACACTTTTCCTGTCCCACTTACGCAACAACCGTGGTCATTCATTAGCATTAAGCTAAACTGTCTCTAGAAAATGTTCTAATTAGCTTCCTGATTAAACCTGCCTTGGTTTAAAAGAGGAACACTGCTGTGTGTCATGTGAACATTTCATGTTTCTTCTAAGTAATAGAATTAGCTATGGGCATTTCCTTAAGAGCAGGTAGGATGCAATTGCAGTATAATTCGTCTCCCTCCAAGCCTCATCTTGAAACATGCAAATTTCTCTTTCAAGTGTTTTGGCAAAAAAATGGCAACATCCTGATCTACACATGATTTAGGCACTGAACTGCAAAGTGGTTATCGCCAGTGGGCTGAGTTCTTGGGTGAACATAGCAGGAGTGGAAAGTAGCACAGTCTGCTGAGGAAGTAGCAGTTTATAGCTTGCTGCTTGCACTCGTTCCTGCGCATCCAGCACTGGCCGCTGCCCGGGACAGGATGCTGGGCTAACTGTGGACCTTTAGTGTTCTCTGGCCTTGTGATGCTCGCCTCTGGCGCCACGGAGCACCCTGCAGTGCCGTGCGCTCCCTGTAGCTGCGCGTTTTCATGTCCTGTTTCAAAAATAACAAGACATCTCTTAATATTCAGGATACATTTTTCCATTCTGAAGCACCACAACAGTCTTTTTAAAGAAACCCTAGGAAGGGTGTTAACTTGATCAATGCTGTGCAGGAAGGAAAGCTCTTTCCTACTATTTTTTCAGCATGACTTTCACTGACATGATCAGGCTGGGAAAAGACTTATTGGCTGACAGCCCAGGACAGCCATGCAATATCTCTAGTCATCTGGAACTCAAACTACTCTGCCCAAGGGAGAACCATAACATAAAAACAATTTAGGTTACATGCTGAATCTTATAAACATTGTTCATTTTTTAAAAAATAGTTTAAATCCTATTTATGTACATTTGCTGTGCACGTATTTTTTTTCTCAAATGTCAAGCAGGGAATGCTTAGGAGAGTTTTTAGGTTTTTCAGTGTATAAGGTTTTCAAAAAGGGTGGGGATTTTTAGAAAAATATGGAAGTGAGCTTCCTCCCATCTCTTGAATTTATAAGATCAGCTTCTCCTATGTATCATATATAAACGCTTTATATACAGATGATGTTTACTTTTTGACCCAGTCCAGAAACCATAAAATCGTAGAATTGCTGGTTGGACGGCATTTCCAGCGGCCTCGCAGTTCACCCTCCCGCTCGGCGTGGGCCCGTGGCCAGCCCTGGGCTGGGGAGGGCTCGGCTGTGTCTGGCCGAGTCTCTCAAACCTCCGTTCCGGAGGCTCCTCTGCCTCCCCCATGACCTGCCCAGCACCGCCCTCCTCTTCCACAGAAGTGATTTTTCCTTGTGTCCAACCTGAACCTCCCAGCTGCAGTTTGTGGCCGTGACCCTTGTTATGTTGCCTGTCACCATTCATGAGAGTTGGCTCTGTCTCGCTTGAAACCTCCCCTTCAAAGGACCTGTAGACTCATCCCTGGTCTCCCTGTGGCCTCCCTTTCAACAGACTAAGCAAGCCCAGGTGCCTCAGTTTCTCCTCCCGGGCCTCATGCTCCAAACCCTGGCCCACTGTGGTAATAAGTCCTTACTGAGGCAAAACTGAAAAGATTTTACACACAGGCCTTCGATGAATGGCTCAAGTTTGGCCCATAATTTGACTCGGACATTTGGCAGACTTGAGGGGTCTCAGCAGTAGTTCCATCTTAGAAAAAAATAAGTAGAATACTTGCCCTTAAGGGAATTTTGACTTTATTATCTTCATGTTGCAAATGGGACCATTTATTTTTTTCTCATCAAGGCGGTAACTTTTAGTTAGTTTAGCCCATTCAGTTCTCTTGCTATTACCCTGGTTTTGGATGCTGTAAAAGCACATATAATCTTAGCAACACCGTGAAACCAAAATGCAAAATGTGAGGGCCAATATATATGTATAAAACTTTGCAAAATTGAATCCTTCACTTGCAACTGTGTTTTTTCTTTTTTTTTGTTGAATTTTCATTTTTTTTTGTGGTACAGGAAAATGAAAAAATGGGGATTTTCCAACAGTTCAAAGATCATGCTAAAATGTATAAAGCTATAGTGCTTTTGTACGTATATTTTTATAACTTGCCTCTGTCTATCATTCCCTTATTGTGCATTAAAAAAACAAGGAGAGTAATCCTTTTTCTTTTTCTGTAAGTTTATACAGCTTTAATAAATTGAGGTAAAACAAAGGAAGATCAAATGTAAGCTTCACATAAAAAAACAACTTGTTGTCTTGACTGAAGATCTGAACTTGGGATATGTCCATTGCCACCTGTCTTTTTGCCAAGTTTGAACATTCCAGCACACCTTATAACAAGCCTAAAATTATTATTTTAGGAAATGATTGTAGTTTCTATATGATGTCTTTTTTTCCATAATCTGGTATTTCATAAGTTGAATAGTGTTATTGTCTCTCTAGTGACTGATCCATTCAAACTCAGGAGAACAACTAGAAGAGTGGTTCTTGTGTAATTTCTTGATTTTGCTGAAATTGTTGTGTGTGTTTTTTTGCACTTTTTTTTTTTTTTTTGAGTTCTGGTTCCTATCTCGTTGATGTCGTGTTTCATTTGTTACAGCTTTTCTGTGATGTTTTCCTTGCAGGCCTTGCTGAGACCAGGGAGAATAGACAGGATTATCTATGTGCCTTTGCCTGACGAAGCCACCCGCACAGAGATCTTCAAACTTCATTTTCGGTCCATGCCAGTCAGCGAGGAAGTCTGTTTAGCAGAGCTCGTTGAGCACACTCAGAAATATTCAGGAGCAGAGGTAAAACTTTATATAATGATGCTGATCATGAACTCAATGCACCAAATTGCACCTTGAAAATTGGTTTTCAATTTAATCCCTTCACTCTTCTCCAAGTGAGCGATGGGGAAACTATGAAAGGATATGTTTGAGAAAATACACAATGACTTCTGTGTTTCTTCTCAGAAAACAATGCAATCTGAGGTTTTATTTCCCCATGGAGATGAGTGTTGTTACCAGGGAAAAGACCTCTTCCAGGGCGATCGTAAGATCCCAGGTGGCTTCCTTAAGGATGTGCTGCCCAGAGGAGTGGAGGGAGGTGGAGGACACGCTAGGGGAGGACACACACTGTCCAGACAGTTCACCCTGACCTCCCCACAGCTATGGGGAGCTTTTGCATTCAGGGCTGTGGCTCAGAGCCTCAGCTGGAGGGAGGAGAGAAGCAATTCACAGTCCAAGGGAATCTGTAAGGGAGTCACTAAGCAGCTAACTTCGAGGCCTCCTCTTCTTTCTGCTCCACGTAACCAAGAGCTCACAGCAGCTGTTACTGTTACAGCTCAGCAGCGTTAGCAGCCTCTGCCTATGGACATCAGTTATTTCCTGCCCTGCATATAGGGAGAAGCCTTTTCAGGTGACGCTGCCTGGCGGTTATATTAATACGTGAGTGGTCGCTACTCTGCTTCCTGCATATTTATTCATGTCAGTGTCTGCACAAAATGTTTCATTCTTGCCTCATTTTGATTAATTGGAGGTAGTTACATTACTTCAAATATTCAAGGAAGGGTATTAAGATTGTCACTTAGAGATTTTAAAGGTATGAAATCACAGAACTGAGGTTTCCACCTTGCTGTAGCCAGTCCTAGCGTACATATTACTGTACTGTCTTTGATACCCAGTCACCCCTTAATCGCATAGCCTCCTTTTCCATAATGGGATGGAAAACGTAACCTGCTCGCCACAACTCCTCTATCTCTCTGTGTGCTGTTTGCTGGGGCAGGGGAATAAGCTGTCTTGGCCCAAAAGACAGGGCAACTCTGGAGTATTGGCATTCTTGGTGTAGCAATGAAGGGCCCTCCTCAACTGGCCAGTCGCTGGATGTTCTGAGTGACTTCCAGGCAGGAGTTCTGTTCATTTAACTAGCTATCCCATAAGTTTTGGTGTGTTAAAAATGGTGCCTTACCTATTAAATAGGTGTTATGTGTGACTGGTGAGGGCACTGCTGCGGGTGCTGCAGAGGCCGTCCTGCAGGCCCCAGAGAGGGGTCAGCCCTTGCCATGTGCAGCAGCCGTCTCTGGAGCAGCCCTCAGGGCAGTTCGAGGAAAATATGTAGGGGCTGGATCCGAGACCAAAGAGAAATTTGCAACAGCCTCCCTCCTCCACAGCGTGAGCCAAGCTGTGCTTGGAGAAGCAGCGCGAGAGGACTGTGTAGTATGCAAAGCTGTCATGTGGAGGGCATTTCTTTGCCACAGAAAATGGCATCTCATAATGAAAAAAAGACAATAATTAACTTCTTATTGCAGGCTTAAATATTGGTATGGGAAACTACTGCAGCTCTACTGGTCCTCTTGCCTTTGGGGAATGAGTCAAAACAGTACTGTGTTCACCTGGGTGTCAGTGATACGACTTTTGCTGTCCTGGGAAAACGTATCGGCTTCTGGCCAAGTTATAAGCCTTCAAAAACATAAATATAAACCAATCTTCTCTTGTATATGGAAACTATCTTCTTCCCAGGCAACAACTGTATTTTAGAAATTCCAAGCACATGGGGGTTTTCTTTGGATCTGGGTCAGTTGAGGCTCCAGTGGTGAATTCCTGTGCTTAGCTGATGATGAGTAGCAAATGTCTTCATGCTAGCTTTGTACAGACCAAAAAAAAGTTGATGGGTTGTTGTGTGCTGCCACAGACTAGGTGCAAGGGAAAAAAACTGCCTGTTTCTCATATGGCATATATCAGAAATTCTATTAGTACCTTACCTGTCTTTTGAAGCATTCAAAGAATTGCAATAATTGGGAGATAAAGAGTAAAATCCGAAGGAGTCGCAGTCAGTATTCACTGGAAGAATTTATAAAGAGCCTTGACAGTTGGCACACACAGTGGCCAGTTTCATTAAAGCCTTTTCTTCCTAGAGGCTCCAGTTTCCCAGCTTTACAAATAGTTTCCGCTGATGAATGGCAAGTTCCCATTCCCCTGTTATGCCCTTTGTTTAGAAGAAGAAATGGAAAATACTTGGTTTTGTGACTATAAGATGCTGTATAAATAGTGAATTTCATGTCGAGCGATGTTGAATCATCCTAAAATGAGCTGCATAAACAGTAAGTAAAGTGGATAGCTTACAGTGCATCTGGCTTCCTGACTGGCATTTTTTCAGATCAGATATTTGTGTATTTTTGTCTGTCGTCACTTATGGCCAGATATCTCGGTTCGCCTGCTATACGGATGGTTCACGTAATGAATACCTTAAAGATATATCAAGATAGTAGGATAGGGTGTTTACTTCCCACTGTTTCATGTGAGAGAAGGTAGGAGGTAATTTATGAGAGTGAGATAGAACTGCCCTCTCTCATTTGCTTAATGTAAAACAAAACAAAAAACATGCGGAAGGGGAGCAATGTCCTACACTTAGTTTATGTTATACAAATAGTACAAGTCAAGCCCTCTAGAAGTATTTGGATTTGAGTCTGATCTCTATTTCCGGGCCCTTCCCAGCTGCTCGCTGATATCTTGGTACCTCCGTAGTGGATAGCTTCACATGGGCAGAGCAGGAGGTGCCGGTGAGGTTCCGAGCGGCGAGGCGGCCCTCGGAGCCGGGGAGCAGGCCTGGGCCGATACCAGCGGCGCCGAGCGGTCCCTCCTCCCTCGGAAGCAGCCGCCAGCCCGGCCCGCGGGAGCGCTGGGCACGGCCGGGGCGGCCCGCGCTTCGCCCCGAGCTTCTCCAAAGGGCCTGCCGGGGCCGCTGCCCCCTGGGGCTGCGTGGGGCAGGAGGGCTGCGGCAGGGCCGCGCTAGCAGGGAGCTCTCCAGGCCTTGCACGCGATAAAGGCGGTCCAAGCAGCAAAGAACCTTCAACCGGGTTCGTGCTCATGTTCCCATTTCTATTTTGGGCAAAGTTGCAGGAGATCTGACCTTTGTGACCTTTTTTTTTTTTCTAATGCTCTTATACAAATAGGGTGTCTTCGCTCAGAGACGGATCAGTCTGATCATACCTTTGCTTAGGGAGTTATGGGGTTGGCCTCGGTGAAGAAGGATACACACCTTTATAAATGCAGTACCTGATGTCCTTGATAAACTTGTGTGGCAAAAAATAAAGAAGATTGTAGTATTTTCCTTTACAAATTAAATGGAGGGAAATTACTTCAAATTGCTTTTAATCCTTGGAGTTTTTCTGGGAAAAGGGATGAGCAAGGAATGAAGATAATATTTCCCCACTGTAGAAGTACTTTGTTCCAAGAATGGGTGATAAATAAGAAAAAAATAGTGCAAAGGGATCATCTTTTATTGTCTGGGTCACATTATATTTTTGTTTCCGCTCAGAAGATAGTGCAGTTAGAATCTGAAATGAAGTATTGCGTTGTTTTGAGAGGTGGTTAAAAGTAAGAAAAAATTAATATTTGAGATATGACAGTAATATTCTTGCCAGGTGTACTTATAAAAGTAAATAATGGAAAATACTACATTTACGTTGGTGGAAGGTGGGTCATGGTAAAGCAAAGGTTGGCATTATTTCTATAATGTTATCAGTTTCCATGCTTACAGGAGACAACAGTAAAGCAGGAACCCAGGAACCTGTAAATCTTTCATTGGTTCTTAGTTGAAGTAGAAGGGTTAATGTAAAAATATCTTTCTCACTTTGCAATAACTCAATGGGAACACAGAGAATGCAAGGGAAAAAAAAAAGCCAATGGAGTTTTGTTCTGGCTCAAATAAGAGCATACTTGATGCCAAAAAAGTATCTTTGCAGCAGCACATTCTAATCAACTAGAGCCTTTGACTCTTAAAATATTTATTCCAAAATTGTGTGTTCTTGTTTATCAGATACTGACATATTTAAACTTTAAACTTTGTTTTTAAAAAAACAGCTCTTCCTCATAGAGGAAGTCACCAACTTCAAAAGAAGTGAGGATGTGTTCCAGCATAGCGATGCCATAGATGGTAAATAGTGTTTTAAATGATTGGGGAAAATGAGTCTTCACAAAGGAGCTTCAGTATCGAAGGGAGGACTGGGGTATAAAAAGCAGGATATCAGACAAATTAGGATGTATTGCCTTTTCGATAGCTAGTTTTCCAGGAAGGAAAAGATCTTCCAAACTTAAGCATGAGAGTGTTTGCTTAACAAGGCAAAGGTTCCAATCTGCAGACCCAAACTTTCAGGAGGGAAGGTGACCAGAAACCAAGAATAGCAGACTGGGGAAAGGTATGAGAGGGAAAACAATAGACTGTGCAAACTACATCCTGGCTGAATCTTGGGCTTTTCATTTTTACAGGCAAAAATGTTGGTCCTCTCTTGTTTACTCCCACTGAAAGGAACAGCTGTTGAAGGTGCTCAGCACATCCTGTTTTAGGACTGGGCACTCAACTTCTGAGCTTGAAAGATACCACAAGAAAATGTTCATATCTGATCAGAAATGTGTGACTTGAAGCTATGCTTTGTAGACAATCATTAACATGCCTGGGGCTGAAATGCCTCTGAAATGCCCAACTCTTTTGGACAGCCCTGCTACGTGAAGAGGTTCTCCTTAGCTCCACAGGCGACGGCATCGCAGCGCAGTAGGGTTTCAAAACGAGAAGGTCCATCAAATCGAATCGCAGCAGGATTACGGCACCGGTCTCCTCAGGTGAACCTCTGCCTTTTCTCTTGGAACGATGCATAGGATCTGTTAGTTTATATCACTCATTGAAAAGTGAACATTTTTGTGTGGGTGGGTGAAGAAAAGAGACGCGGCCTTCATCCAGCGTGGCCAATATGGGATCACCACCTTCCTAGACACGTTTATCAGCGCTGAGGATGTGTGTTTGGCACAGGTGGCTGGAAGGTGAGGAAATACCTGGCATTCAGAATGTTTTCCGAATGTCAGTGCTAGGGATAAAGGAGATGAATCACTTGAAAGGAAATAACTGACTACACAGGACTTCCCATGGGATTTTTGCTTGCTGCTGGTCTTGCAAGAGCCTCGTACGTGCAGAATGTGCTCGGAGAGCCTGGAGACGAGGGCTGTGCGCGTGCCCGGGTATTTGCTCGTCAGCAGCACTGTGCTGACCCGCAGGAGCGTCCTGCCCTTAAGCTCTTTCCTCTCTTTTCCTTTGCAGAGACTTCTGCTAGATCTGGTTCTGTCCCAGCATCTCTCAGAGGGAAGCTTGGGGGTGAACTGTCCCGAACGGACTGATTTTCATCATGTCTTGTCTCAGCCAAGACCCAGTAAATAGCTGTAGGCTTTAATCCTGCGTGTGTGATTATGTAAAACATGGTTGACAATTAGCACGTTTATGTGAAACATAAGGAGGTTTGGTTTGGTAGATAGAGGAATATTTGCACTGAAAATTATGCCTGACTTCCTCATCTGGGGAAGAACATTTTAGCCCTCAATAAGATAATGCTTTGCTAATAGTTTAATCAAGCAGTGGAGACTGAAATGATTCCAAAAAGGTCGGGGCCATTAGCAGCTCAGGAGGATGCAGTCAAGGCTGCTTCCTAAACAATTTGACTTGAAGAATAGTGATCCTTAGAGGGCCTTGGAGTGATCGCCAGAGAGAATTTCAGCAAACCCCCAAGCAAGCCCCAAGTATGATTAGGTACTGAGTCTGCCTCTCAAATGGGAGAATCTCTTCCTCTGTGCAGCCCGAAGACCTGGAAACCTCGATTCTTTACATGCCTAAGAACTTGTCTGCTAAATCATTCAGGGGGAAGGAACCTTTAGGGGTAATTTCAGGATGTTTTCCTTTCTGTCACCTGTGTCCCCATTAACTATTTAAATGGTGTTGTCAGCTTGAATACTTGCAGCTTTGTCGTTTCCCCCAAATGGCCGAGGCTGCAGGAGAGGCGGCCTGCGCTCTTCGCTGCCTTCCCCTTCGCATTTCCACGCTCCCTTTCGCGCAGTGAACTTCCCGGGAGCTGCTCTCTGCAGAGCGCGGCCAGCGCGGTGGGGGCTGCGCAGCTGCCACCAAAACGGAGGCTTTTGGAGAAGGACCGAGGCTGACGCGGCCGCCGGCTTCCCGTGCCCCTGCCCGTGGCTTTGCTGCTGGAGAGTCCCGTGTCCGGCTGTAGTGCTCTGCCATGGGAAAGTGTGTTGCTCTTTAAAAGCAGATGGGACTTCATTCCTGAAGGGAAAAAAAAAGTCTCTTTGGGCTAGTGCTATTGTTTGCTTCTAGTTTTATTTTTTGCCTGTGAGTTATTTCTAGCAACTTGTAATGTAATTCATGCTTCCTTTCTAGTCAGACAGCAGGGACTATTCTTCAGTGTCTCATATCTGCCACATTCAGATCACAAATGTGGGTATTCAGAGCACAAACCAGTTTTACAATGATCAGAGAGGAGAACAGACAGCAAGGAGCTCAAAATGTTGATTAATTTCTGTATTTTGAAGAATTTTATTTGTGTAATCTAAATGCGTGTGTCAGTGCAGAGTTGTAACTGCAAAGTTGTAACTGCATTTACTTTTATGCTAAGGAGAAAAAAAAAAAGGAAAGGCAAAGAAAAGACATTTTGTACTACCCTGGTCTGTTTTTTTTTCCAATTTAAACCTGTACGGTCAGTGCTTGTAAGTTAGTAGGTGTGCTGGAGTGTGCAGGTAAAGGGGAGATTTTGGTTTTGAGTTTGATTCTAGAGGAAGAAACCTTGATCTTGGAGAGCTTTGAGCTTCAGGGCCAAATCCTTGACATATACAAATTGTGGTAAATACTGATAGGACTCACTACATTAGCAAAGGATTCATCCAAAGTCTTATTTCGTTTTCCAAGAGACTGCTGATTTTTTTATGCACTTTTTGCACAAACGGGAAAAAAATAAATATTTTTACATCTCCATTGCCATTTTTCATGTCCCTGAGATTACAGCAGACTTATTTTCCTGTTGTGTTTTCTTTTAATATAATACAGTCTCTGACTATCAGACTTCAGCGTTCAACCTAGCTTTCCTGATGATTCTACTTGGATTTAGTGAGGATTTCAGCTGGTTTTGTGCAGTTGTAGCACCAGAAATATTTGCATCAGCTCGGCCCTGAGAGCTGCAGAGGTCTCCCTGCTTCTGCAATAAACCTTCCTTTCTATCCTCGACAGGATCAGTCCTCCGAAAAATAAGGGTAGCATTTGGACAATAATATCCAAAATAGTTCTGATTATTATCTTAGTTGGCAGTAGGTATGTTTAAGTGTAGTACCTGAAGGCTAACTCAGATAGGATGTTTATACCAGATGAAACCATACAGAGGAACACCTTGTGCTGACCTACTTGTACTCCTGGTATCATGCCAGTTAATTTGCTGTCAAGGTGGAAGAAATGTTAATGAATAGCAGAGGAACAGTAGAGCCCTGGAATAAGAGCTTATTAATCTACCTAAGCATTATTTGAGTTTGGAAATGCTCTCTGCTCTGGGCCCTTCAAAGGGCTTTTCATCATGTATAACTGCATTTTTCTATGTCTCTTTTGGGGAAAAAAGAAAAAAAAAGTTGATATATCTGCCTTTGTTCTTTTCTCTCTTTCATGAGAAGGGAGGGTTGCACCCCTATTAAAGAAGGCATTTAAGGGGAGCTCTCTGTATCTGACTCCGAGTTTCATATTTGGATCCTAACAAAGATTTGCCCAAAACTTTGATCTTACCATTCAAACCATTGCCTAGAGCAGGAGCTGCCAAATAATGTTTCCTAGCACTCCTTAAAAGCTGGTGGCTGGGTCCACAACTGTAACTTAGATTTTTGTATGTAAAAAGTTGGAAGTTGTTATTTCCGAGTTATCTTTTACTGTTTCCCTAAAATACATATGGAAATACATCACACTTTAGATTGCCCCTGGCAAAAGGATTAAGTGGTTACTAGCAGATGGAAACAGTACAGTAATAACTCTGCAACAAATTATTAGTTATGTCAGAAACAATTCTGGGGACTGTTTTACTTTTTAATTAATCTGTTTCAAACTATCACTTAGTTCTCAGTCTAAACTTTGTCTTCTGCCTTTGAATAATGACTTGAAACAAACCGTCAGGTCTTCTGTAGCTGGTTCAAGACACTGCATGTATGGAAGAGAGCTGTTAGATGTGGGCTGACCACTTGTAATGGGGAAAACAAACAAACAAACAGAAACAGAAAACCAGCAAAGCCCAAGAAAACTGCAGTAGTTACTTGACGTTCTTGTCGTTCCCGGTTCAGGTGACAAGAGATAAGAGCGTTTTTCTCAGTTCAAAAGAGCTGCTTTGGATTTTGTTTCGTATTTGAGTTTCTTCTTTAGGGAAGGAGCTCTTATTTACGGTTTTGGCATACTTCAGTTACGAGCACCCAAAGTACCTTTGTGATATAACTAAAACATACACAGTTTGACTTACATTGCAGAGTGAAACGAAGCATTTGAGGGATCATGGGGGAGAGCAGCAATCTATGTCTCTTGATTTTTCTTGTGTGCTTTAGTCTTACTTTGCTTTTTCAGCATTGCCATGTCGATCCAAAGGGGTTAAAATTAAAAAATAAAATTAAATAAAGGCATGCCAGTGGCATCTCTGATCGCCTCCCAATAACCCTTCTGGAGGGAGGATTGGGGAGGTCCCTGATCTGGGAGGCGCTGGGATGACAGCAGGGACGCTAAGTCATTTAATCAGCAATAAAAACCTGCTTTATGGGTCCTTGCCATTTCGGTAGTCACTTCTGCTTGTTTATTTCTTATGTAAACCAGGGCAGAGAGACCCAAACCACGCTCCTTTATTAGCAGAACAAAATTTGCAGGCAAGAAATTATGTTTAGTAGTTCCGTATAAACAAGAGAGAACAAAACTCTTCTTGATTTTGACTTTTCTAGTGTAAAGCCCGAGGACTTTCACAGGAGAGCTGGCAGCCTTGCCTTACTATTCAGGCAGCAAGCACCCGGACTAATACGGTGTCAGTTCTCTTAAATAAATAAAAGTACCACAGTGCTCGTGTCCCTAAACAGAGTGTAATCAAAACGCTAAAAAAGGAAATCTTATTTTTCATTTGTAACATGCGGTGATATTAAATCTGGAAAAAAAAACAAGTGAAATAAAGAAAAAATGTGTATGTTTTGTATGGATTTAATGAGGTTTTTTTTCATGTGATGTGATATCTACATTATAGATGGCCTTCATTTTCTTGTTTATGGTTTCCTACAACCATGTATAGAAAATAAGTTCTACAAACTTATCTGTCCTTACTTGTTTTTTTTTTCTTTTTGTATGCTCTTTTTACATTCCCATGAGCGTAAAAAAAAAAAATCTTTTGAAACTGATGATTTCTTGGATTTGGAAATATCCATTGTCTTCCTTATTTTTTTGCCTTTATTAATCCTTGTTTATGAATAACAATGCTTAGGGACAATGAGGAAAATGGGGAAAAAAGGGGAGATGAAATAAATTTGTTTTCTATCAGCGCTTGGAAGTTGAGGGAGGAAAATGAGCAGGAGAATTTTGGCGCTGTCTTACTCCAGGCTAATTGTTTACCGTTAAACGGGAACTTGCATGCAGGAGGGAGTGTTATATTTTGGACGTACTCCCTTGTAACTCATAAATCTTGGCTGTATAAATGTTCAGTCATTAATTAAGGGTTTCAAATTAATCTGTTTCCTGACTGGACTTGGCTGTTTTTGCATAGTGCCATGTTGTTGCCCGCCTTAATAGTTCAGGAGTGTTTTCAGATGTGTGATATGGAAGCACTGCGTTTATTGTGGAGAGTTAATGAACAGCACTTGGGGAGAGGAGAGGCATTTTGTTATTAACACATACAGGGAATAGGGTTGTGGTATCAAAATGGTTAGGCATGCTTTATTGCTTTAAATAAGGACAAAAAATATCTATTTTATATTAGTAAGTGGCAGCCCTGGTCAGAAGTGTTTTTCTTTTTGTTATTCTAGTATAATGTTCTGTTTTTGCTATTTATTTACATAGGGTAATATGTAATAACAGCTGAAAAGTCTCTTTTATGTGATGGAAGAAGATTTAAGGTTTTGTTAGGGATTTTTTTTAAATCTGCTGATAATACCATTGCTCAGGTGGAGTTATCACCAGATTCATTTGAGGTGTATTTGAAGGTTTATTTGTGTTTTATGTTCTACATGTGCTACCCTTTACAAATGTGTATATATATTTGTGTTTCCCTTTTAACTTACCAAAGCACAGTAAAAGCTTTTACCATTTTTTTTCTCTCTGAGATTGAGGATTTTCAGATTTCCGCATCCATATATCAAAATACATTATTGTAACATAAATGTCCACCTCATCTTTAGCATTTATACAGAGGTCCATCTTTGCAGTGCTGAGAATCAGGCCTACCAGCTCTTCCTTTTAGTGAACATCCCCTCGCTCCTGCAACGAATTTGCTGTTAAAGGTGAAGGAACAAAAAGTGCCAATGGGTCATCCAGTCAAAGCTGGGTTTTTAAAACATAGTGCAATTAGTATTGTGGATGTACCACGTTTTGTAGCTATTTCAAACCAAAAGTGCTTCTATGCATTCCAGCTGACTAGATGTGTATGGCAGCAACCACCTTCCTTGGCTTCTGCACATGCAGTAGATTTCACAGATAGTGTTGAAGGTTCCTGCTCCAAGCTGATTTGTGCATGCAACCTAGAAAAGTAGGAATTTATCACGAACATGAACAACAAAAACAGTCCTCTAGTTAGATATTTAAAGACCTGGTGTTCCATTTGTGAAAAAATGTTGCTGCTCTCGTTTTATTTGTCCTTACTTATGTTGCAGTGCAGAGAAATACCCTAGGCCCGCTCAGTGCACCTTCCTCTCGAGGAGCTAATGTGTAGTGACTTCAGAGCTCCAGAGTTTTGACATCTACCATGAACATACTTAATATTCATCTCATAAATGTGCTCTACCAGCAAAACTAATTGCACCTTAGCTATCAGTTGCTAATTAGAAAACGGTCTGACCAAGTTTCAAAGTTTGAGAGTTTGAAAATTGAATTTAGCTCTTCAGCTCAGTTTCATTATCCTTATCACTTCATCCAACACGCAGAATATTAATACCTCCTTATTTCTGGCCTAAGTCAAAGTGTAGATTGCTACCCTACAGCGTTTCAGGGGATTTCATGTGCATAGAAAAC